CCCCCCCCCCCCCCCGCCGCACTTACATGATCTCCATGCGTCGGCAGGTGCTGCCCAGGGGCCGGATCTCGATGCTCTCGTACCTCTTCGGACTAAGGAAGTCCGACGTCATCTTCACGCACCTGCAGCTCAGGTTTCCGTTCACCTCCAGGATGGCTGAGAAAGAGAGAAGGTGGCACCTCCCAGCTCCCAAAGGCCTAGTTCAAGGACACAGCAATTCCGAACCTCTTAGGGAGCCCAAGGAATTGTCCCATCCCGTGCTTTTGCTGATGGCGCTGTAGGGAGCGTGGTATGGAACGGTTCTCCGTGCCTCTACCCCAGCATCCTACATTCACACAGAGACTGAGAGCCCAAGCGGGTCCCAGCGAAGGAGGACGGTCATGCTCTGTTCCTGGCTTCGAAAAAAACCCTGGGCTAAACAGCACGGAGATGTCTCTACCTCCTCTGGTCCCTTTTGGTGCAGGATAGAATCACAGAACAGTTTGGGTTGGAAGGGACCTTCAAGACCCTCAAGTTCCAACCCCCCTGCCATGGGCAGGGACACCCTCCACTGCACCAGGTTGCCCCAAGCCTCATCCAATCTGGCCTTGAACACTTCCAGGGATGGGACACATCTTAAGAATGCACATGTATGCCTCACCACCCTCAGAGGGAAAAATTTCTGTCTTAGATCTAATCTAAATCTGCCCTCTTTCAGTACAAAGCCATCACCCCCTGTCCTGTCACTACATTCCCTCATCAAAAGCCCCTCTCTGGCTTTCCTGAAGCCCCTTCAGGTACTGGAAGGCTACTGGAAGATCACCCAAGATGCCCACCCACCATGAGGACCACAGCACGCTGGGAGCCGACAGCCGGGGGTGCCTCTGCGATGACACCAGAAGCTCACCTGCGCAGGCTGAGTGGGACATCATCATCGTCACCATCAGGAGCAGCAGGAGGAGGCAGGGGAGCACGGGGGCTCCCGTCCCCACCCCGGCCAGCGTGCGCATCCCGACGGCAGCCTCAGCAGCGCCCGGACTGAGGAACCGGCGGAACAAACACCCCTATTTATTCGGGAGGGTCACGCTCTGACACAAGCGGCGAGATTCAAACTTCAGCAGCCGCATCAAGCGGTGGACCGTGAAAAGAGGTGACATCATTTCTCGGATGCTCCCCCCACCCCAGCCCCACCAGAAACCGGATTCGCAATATTATTGATTCAAACCAGCCGCCGGGACGAAGAGCGCCTTCGGATTCCCCACGTAGCCTTCCTCACACCCTGCTTCTGATGAGCTGGGGCTGGACCAACATCCCCCTTCCTTCCCTTGAGCATTTACCCATCGACCACAAGGAGAGCCCAAAATAAAACCGGAGCGCGAACCCCGGGTCAGCAGGGTTTTTTCATGCCCTCAGATATTTACATATTTCTTTCATCTTAAGGCTACAAGTCCCCCACGCTATTTTTGCTATCGCTTGCATCAGTAGAAACCCCTTAAGTGCTTCTGCCAGGTCGTGGCTGGGGTCTCTTCTAAGAAAAGTCTGCCAAACAGTGGGGAAGGCATCGATTTACCGGGAGGGATGACCAGTCAACCACCCAAAGTGCTATGGAGGCACCAAAAAAGTTTCAAATTGTTTCTGAAGTTCATGACTTCCAAATGATGCTGCTTTTATAGCTGGGAAAAACCGAGAGAAGTGAAAGCAACTTTCCCCAGAGCTGCGTGTTGGAGAGGACCGAGTCGGGGCACGTAGCCCACGCTCCAAGCGTGGCTCTTCCACGAGCAAGGGAAATCAACCCCAGTGCTGGCAGCACTTCAGGAAACTGGTACAGGGAGAAGTTACCCTTGGGAGACATCCAATGGACAGACCAAGGTAACGCGAGAGCGAGATCACGCCCCAGATTTGTGGGTGCAGGGCAGGTGTCCATCTCCCAGCTACCCTGAAGAGAAATGGGAGCTATGGAAGCATGCTTTGGCTGGCTGGATTTAGAGAGGTGGCTTTAGAGGGGTCCTGGGTGATCAGTCCAACCACAGTCATCTCAGTTTAAGCCTGGGGCAGGTGCTTGCCCCCAGACCTCTGCAAGATCCCAGGCCCTTCCACTGAGGTTGTCTCCTCTAGGGACGTGCTGCTTTGTGCCGACACATCGCTTTACGTCCATTCTCGCAACGGGCACTAAGTTCTCTGCTTCTTCCATGACAATCATGGTGCTCTTTAACTCACTGTGTACTCAGGACAAAACCCACACGTCCCTCTGAGGGAGGACAGTAGGGCCTCCTCTTCACCATGAGCACCAAGGAAGTTGTCCCCTCTTCAGAGGTGGCCTTGGCAGTAGCTTTCCTCAAAGTAGGAAAAGCCAACGCTGCTGGGACAAAAAAAACACCTTCGAGCTGTGGGGAAAAGAAGAACTTGACCTAGGTACTATCATCCCAGGGTTTCTGAATCGCCTCGATATTCGTCGGGGGTGGTTTTGATGTACGACTAACGCGAATATCGATAAACATCGTGGTGTTTTCTCAGGAAGAAAATGCTTGTGGTCATCACGGGTGGCTAATAGGCACGCAGCACCGAGTGGTAATTCCAAAAAGGGAGGAGGGCAAGGATCTACTCGGTGACTATATTCAAGCTTAATCGCTTCCTGCATGCCAGTAATTCTGAAGAGTGGCACTCACATGGACTTCTATGGGCCAGGATTCATAGATTCATAGATTTCTAGGTTGGAAAAGACCTTAGAGATCATCGAGTCCAACTGTCCCTAATCCCCATTAAACCATATCCCTAAGTAGATCATCCACCCTATTCTTAAACACATCCAGGGATGGGGACTCAACCACCTCCCTGGGCAGCCTATTCCAGTGGCTGACAACCCTTTCAGAGAAGAAATAGTTCCTAACATCCAACCTGAATCTCCCCTGAATTTTGGCTGAAGGATCAGCCAAAACATAGTAGAAATAACCCAAAAGCTTCTATATCTTCTGCAGCAGCTGCACCTTTGCAGGCAAGAGTTTGATTCGAGTCATTTTTTGTTTCGATTTAAAGATTTTTGGACACCCACTGGATCCTCCAGACACCCTTCCCACAGTACCTACATCAGAGGCCTACAAAAACGTGGTGTGAGTACCTCCCAAAGGCCACGACCACGGCAGGAAAGAAGTATTCTGCTGCTTGGCTTTGCTGTGCTTCTGCAGCCATTAAACCACTTAAAACCATGTCATTCAGTGGCATCAAGCCATAAGAAGCCTCAAGCTAGTTCAGCAAGGTCAAAGATTTCCTTGAAGGCACTGAAAAATAGGTGATGGGAAACGAGAGGGGTGGTAGGTGAGCCGTGTGTGGAAAGAGGAGGAGAGTTCAAGATTTATGGTGGAGACAAACAAGCTTTTATGTACCTGAGCCCCCTCTGTAAGATGACAATGGAAGACCTGTCACAGCGTCTCCAAACACACAAGCCAGGGATGGAGCAAGAACTTGGTCTGTATCAACAAGGCAATTTTGGAGATGAGCAGCAAATGACCTGACAAAAAAACATTTTCCACGTTTTACCGGGATGGGCAGAAAGCCAACCCTGAAGTACAAGCCGTGGAGATGCCACCTCTCCTGCCCTTCAGGGAGGACCCGTGTGCTCCACAAGTGAGAGTTGAAGAGGCTGCATTGGAAACGTCTACAGCAAGCAAATCTCTTGGCCGTGTCGAAACCTCTACGTTCATTTTAAGAGAAAGTGAACTTTAAAAGCACACTCCTCTACAACTCACTCAGCACTCCTTGCAGGGGAGATGAAAAAACTATGTTTTTCTAAAAAAAAAAATTAAAAAAACCACCCACCCCCCCAAAAAAAACCCAACTGCAGTGAATTGTCACCACTGTGGTTTGTGGTCCATCATCTGCTTCAAAGATGAAGATACCTCCTGCCGAAACCTGGGGGAGAGCTGCACCCGCATCTGTTTCAGAATCAACCAGTCAAGCGAAAAACATGAGCAGAGGCACCCAGGACCCAAGCAAAGCGTTGGTTTCTCTTTTATTGCACAAAAATACATCTCAGCCGCTTCATGCAATGCCCAATTTCCAGCCCAGGGCTCCTTCCAGCCCAACTGGGATGTTGTCCATCCCCTTGTGCCTCCTATACCTCAAAACCACATTCCCAACCAGCCTGTGTTCATTTATCCACATAGGAAAAGAAGTTCTTGAGCCCTTTTTCCCCCTGCTGTCCCTTCTCCTGGTGGCATTTTAAGAAGAAGCATTCCCTTGATGTGACTGGCCTTCCTTTCTTCCTAAAAAATTACTAGCCCAAATCTGCAAATAATAACACCGACGCAAGGGTGCAGCCCTGGGGAAGGGAACAACTGACCAGGACGTGTGGGTCTCCAAGGCCCTGTGCTGGTGGTCACCAGCTCAGGAGTTTTATTCGTACTGGGATGCAAAACAGACGGCGCTTCCTGCGGCAGACGTCAGGGATAGAAGAGAAATTTCAACACGAGAGCATCGGAATTAGCTAAAGCCTAATGACATCAGGCCAAAATTAGGTTGTTCAAACCAACTATTGAGCTCGCTGTCACTTAGTGTCTTCAAGCCAAGGTGCACGGGCCTACTGGTGACGTGGCATGGGGACAAGATCTCATTTTTGGGGATTCCAGAGAGGTGTGATGACACCTCTGCTCTGTGTGTCTGCACGCGAGTGGAAAATTGACTACAGGTGTCTTAAAAATTAAGGCTCAAGTCTTTGGTCTTCTTGATGGCTAAAGAAAGGGAATATGGTCAGAGGGAACTTGGAAAGAGATGGGATAAGGAGGAAGAAGAGAGGCTCAGAATCATAGAATGGTTAGGGCTGGAAGGGACCTTCAAAGGTCATCTAGTCCAACCCCCCTGCAAGGAACAGGGATATCTCCAACTAGATCAGGTTGCTCAGGGCCTCGTCCAACCTGGCCTTGAACGTCTCCAGGGATGGAGCATCCACCACCTCTCTGGGCAACCTGTTCCAGTTCTTCAGAGCAAGAAGAAAAGCTCCATTAGGGGGAAAGAAATTAAGGAAAACTTCTAAGAAGCATGAATTCGATATTCCTGCCTCCCCAGCCCATCCCGAGCCACAGGATCTCATCGGAGCAGCGACCAGGTGCTTTCTGCCGAAGGGAAAGCAGCAGTACACCTTCAGCAGCGTGTCAGAACATGCCACCCGAGTCCAAAGCAAAGAAAATTTCCGGGACATCCCGTCCAGCCCAGAGATGCAAATGGCACCAAGAAGTGAGCGCAGGAGAAAATCCCCCCGACTGCTGCATTCATTTGCACTTGCTGCTAGAAAAGCACCACGGAGAAATACCCCCGGCACCCCTGCGCCGCTTCGCCTGAAGCTCTCAACTGGTTTCGAACTGGAGTTGGTCCAAAAGGAACCGAAAGGCAAAGTGAAGAAGTGGTGTTATTCCTCAAAGGCACGCGGGGAAAAGCAGAAATAGCTGTGCCGCCCGGCACGGAAGACATGGGAAGGAAACCCAAGAGCTTTACCAGGAAGCGGCGTTGGTGGCTCAGCTGCGGTCTCCAGCTCCCTCTCCGCACGTTTAGAAGGAAGAAAAGTTTTACATTGAGAGTGGTGAGGCACTGGAAC